GGTGACCTGCACGGAACTCCGTGGCAAAGTCGCCGCCTCTCTCTCTCTCTCTGTCTCTCTCTCTCTCTCTCTCTCCCTCTCTCTCCCTCTCTCTCTCTCTCTCGTGCGCCTTGCCAAGTGCAAAACAGGAAGGAATTTTCCTGCGAAAGCAGGAAGATGCATTCCCTATTCCCAACTCTCTCTCTCTCTCTCTCTCTCTCTCTCTCTCTCTCTCTCTCTCTCTCTCTCTCTCTCTCTCTCTCTCTCTCTCTCGTTCGTCCGCACTGCAATAAAAGTTGAACGGATTGTTTTCTCGTGATTTCTTTTTTTTTTTCTATTGTTTCTTTTCTTTTTCCTTTCGTTTCTTTCGTTTTCTTTTTCGGCTTATTTTTGTCAGAATGGCGTTTAGTTTATTTTGTTCTCTTTTTTGTCCCCCCTCTTCCCGGAGAGGTCTGGGAAGGCAGCGCTTGGTACTCCGAGCCTCGGCACGGCTTGGCGTACCGGTCTGCCAAGGCTCCGACCCGATAGCTGGGCCAAGTACTGGTGGCTTAATTCAAAAGAACATCCCACGAGCGTACCCTCGCCTTTCCATTCGAAAGACGTCCAGTAGCTCGCATGGAATTTCAAAGATACTTTTTGGATTGAACGAACGTTTGAAAGCAGTGTGCACTATTTGTTTCCCACGCGGCTATGCCATGTCTCACTAAACCAAGACCACACGGGAGATTTCAGTTCCATCAGTGTCCCCACTCTCAATTTTCCAAAAATCCTTGGCACACCCCATTTTGCTGTTCTTTCAGGGCCTATTCCGCATATTTTATTACTCTGACTAGAAGACAATACAGGGCGTGAGGTTGAACGTCACACCTGGACTTGGAAAAGAGAGAGAAAAAATGAAACACCAAGCAGTTAACGGTGTGAGAATAAGGGGCAGATCCCACCTCTTGTCTTTTTGGCAAGAAAGTTAAAAGAACCGGTTTTCCAGGGTCCATCCCACTCGCTCCGTGTTATAAAAATCGGATGCCACATGCCCACCAAACGCGGTTCTTGTGTTGAGGACGCGACTGGAAGTTGTGGGCGGCGAGGTAAACCTCCTTTTTGAGGTGTGTCCAGGCGGACACTTTCTGGGGTGCGTGTGGCGGCTCGTTATTGTGTGGCAGAATGTGTGCGGTCCAGTGTGGAAGTTGGCAGTACGGGCTGTCGCTCTCGTGCTGGGTCTAGGGGTCCCACCACCAGGCCCATGGCGGCAACCTGCACGGCGCTCATGAACTGTGTGCCCGGTGAACCTGCCCTCCTGCTACCGGTTCCTTCCGCCAAAGGTGCAGATGGGTATGCGGCTTCGCACAACCCGACCATCGCCGTTTTCTTGCTCACCTGCCTTCGCACAAGCCCACCACGCTCGCCTTCCGCGCGCACGCCAGCAGGGTTTTGTTGTTCGACTCGCCATCGTTGTGGGGTCTGTGAAGGACGAAGAGTTCATATCGTTCAGCGAAGGTTGTACCACTTGTACCACTGTGTTCCGGAGCACATGTGCATATGCCATGTGTTCTTCCGCCTTTTCTCCGCTTCTTTCTTGAGTTTCGTTCACAAAGCGTCTGCCTCCGCTTCCAGCACGGACCCTCAACCGTGGAGTGATATCGTTTTCGTTCTTCTGAATTTGAACTGCTCTCTCTCTTTCTCTCTTTCTCTCTCTCTCTCTCTCTCTCTCTCTCTCTCTCTCTCTCTCTCTCTCTCTCTCTCT